ACTCGAACCACTGTTGCTCAGAGCTCAAACTCTTGAGCGAGCTCTTAACCAACTGAGCCACTCAGCCGGCCCTTGGTGGAGCTATTTTAAAATGGAACCAGAACAGCCATTCCAGAGGAAATGCCTTGCACATCTTGCTCCTTGAGCCTTTGGAATGTTTGAACTGGGTAAAATAACCTTTGGACTGGACCATATCAACATTGTCTTATAAACAATTGTTTGTAAAACCAACAGGAAAAGCAGATAACCTGAACACAAGGACTGATGACCATGGATATTCTTTAGAATCAGTAACCAGCCATGTATAGCTAAAGAGCAACTTAGCTTATCAGTAGTTGCATGGCCTCACAATTAGGAACTTTGTTATGCTTAAACATGGTGAATCTGCACCTGCCCTGAACAGGCACCTTGCTTCCCATAAGATTCAGTATTGAGGTTTTGCTCGATAAACACAGCAGAATTTAATCTAATCTTACAGATTGTCAATCAGAAGCTCATCTGAAATGATATTTGCAGTAATTAACCACTATATGGAAAAAACAAGAATTATATAAAGCAAGGCTATTATAAATTCAAAGAACTTTAGAGATACACAATTTAAATAGATATGAGTGTACTAAAACAACTTTATTGAAAGTATTTTCAAGCATTCACGGAGCATTTCCTAAATTAATCATATGCCATAAAGACCACTGACCACAGAAAATCTCAATCAAAAAGAAGAAATTGAATACACTACATTCTCTAATCACGATGCAGTAGAATTTTAAATGTAAATGGAAGTGTGAAGGGCGGGAAAAACCATAAATCCTCCTAAGCAGCTCATTAAGTCAAAGAGAGCATGTTAAAATATAATTGCCAATGAATTAGAAAATAAGAGTATTACAGATTAAAAAATGTATGGGTTTCTGCCAAAGCTTTAAAGAGATTAAATTTATACCCTTAAATACTTTCCAGTAAAATTTTTAACAAGAATAAAAATATTAAACATTCAAATAAAGAAGAAAAATAAATAACAAGCAAGGCATAAGGAAGAAATAACAAAGGAAGAAACTAATAAGAAAACAAATAATCAAACAAAAACAGCTGTGAAAGGTAGAAGTTGATTCTCTCAATAATGAAATATACAAGTCACAGGCCAGTCAAAAAAAGAGAAAATACCAATTAACCAAAAATATAAATAAGAAAGGGGCTATAACAGATAAAACATCTTAAAGTTGTATGCCAATAAAAATAAAATTACCCAAAGGATAATTGCTGTTTAAAATTTTTCTAAAACTGAACCAAACAGCAGAAAACTTAAGTAGGCCAATGTAGCAGACTGCTAATTTCTATTAATATTTGACAGAGGTTGGTCACAAGGTCACCCAGCTAGAGACATTTCCCAACCTCTTTACAGGCAGATGTGCCCATGTCACTAAACTGCAGCAAATGAGATCTGAATAAAAGAGATGGTATGCAACTTCCAGGTCACATCTTTAAAAGGGAGCTGTTTGCTATCCAGTTCTCTGTCTCCCATTACAATGAAATGCACAATATGAGAGAGCCAGTTTCTATCACAGGGAGCATAACACCTTCTAGGGGCTGGTGGAGCAAAAAGATGGATAGAACCTGGGTTTCCAGATGACCTAATGGACCACAGCTGCCTACCCCTATCCACCCTCATCACTGCCAGCCACCTACCAACTCAGACTTATTTATATGAGAAAGTAATTGTCTTTCTTGTTCAAACCACTTGGACTCTGCTAAAGCTGCAAAATTAATTTCCTAAGACAGTGAGTGGTCATGAAAGAAAAAGTTAAAGGTATCAGGTAAGCAGGGTTTAGTTAAATCAAGAAAAAATGTGACTATCTTAAGAATGTTCAGTAGTTTATTCCATGACACTAGGGGAGTTTCACTAGACACAATGAAAAGATTTTGGTGGAAGAGAAATAATAAATTGAGGGAGGAAAAACACAGTGTAGTGTGGAGATAAGGCTTGGATAAATAAAATAATCTAAGAGGATTCCTAATATTGAAGGTTCAAGGTTATCAATAAAAGAGGTTTTCCTTTATAACAGTGTTTTTCTACCTTTTTTCAGGTCATGGATTCCTTTGCAGATCCAATGAAAATTATGACTCTTCTCCCAGAAAACTCATACATATAATTAGAAGGGTCTCAAATCTGAGGATGCAAAAAAGTTCACAAGGCATGCTTCTTAAAAAGGAAATTATGTGGCTCCATGCAAGATCTAAATCAGGGCCTTTAGGTGTGAAGCACAGAAATCTACATTATCAACAAGAATCTTGAGAAATACAGTTCTAAGATAACTCATGAACCCCAAATTAAAGACCCTCCTGTACACACTTGAAAATTCAATTGAAATATTTTTACCAAGAGGATTCTACAGTACAGGCAAAGCTGTGGCCCTGCGTTAGTTAGTTCCTTCAGCTGAATTTCTGCTTCACACTTGGTATTTCTTGAACTACTCTTCATCTCACAGTGCAGAAACAATACTTGTGCCAAGTTTAAACACAGTTTAAAACATAACGGAACCTGTTTTAACAAATATTAACAATGACTACATATCAACACCAGTGGATCTTAACTTTTGGGGGCCCCATCTCAGAATCTGACCCTGTTCACAGAATAATGCACATGCATATATGATGCTGCGTATTATTTTAGGAAGTTTGACCCCTCCCAAACCCAAACACTGACACCCACATTAAGAAGTCCATTTTTATAAGATTGGAAAGAAAAAAAATTGGCTACAAGAAATAATAAAAAAAAACCCTTTTTTCCAAAACAGAAATGCAGACCTGCAAAGAGTGACTTAAGACATTTTCAATTCCAAGGAATACAGTAATGGTTTCCTGCATCTTTAAAATTTACTAAGAATGTTTTAAAGTCATCCTTTCTTTTTAAATTTGTGAAGATTAATAAATTTCTCCTTGGCAATATGCCATGTAGATAATGCTAGTCAAATATGTTTAACAATTGAACTGAACGATAAACATTTTAAAAATTTTATAATCAGAATAAACAATGCTTTTTAAAATTTAATATATTCAGTTTGATCTCAAATGTGTAAAATATTACAGAAAAAGACTGCAAGAGAGTAGGCCCAAACTACCGAGACCTCTGAGACCTGGGCCTATGACGTTTACCCTTTTTCTACTTTGCTATACTTTCCAAATAGACAATAAGAACTATCTATGTATATGTACATTGTGGTTTCCTATAGGAGTGAAATTCCAGAGTGGCTGTCCACAGCCCCCAGCTTCTAATGTTGGTTTGGCTACTGTGGAAATGTGATTATAGGCAAGTCACTTAAGCACAATGAATCAGTTATTAGCAAATGAGGCTAACCACATTATATGTTTCTACTTTCACCTTTGACATTATGCAGAAGATATCTAGGCAGTTATTTCCCCAGTAATAATTTTTTAGATATTTTTTCTGGATGTTGAGACTTCACTCAAACCCTGTCTTCCCAAGCAGTGCAGAAGATTTAAAGAGAAACTTCACTTGCGGTGGTTCCTAAACCATGTGTTTGCTGAGAACTTCAGCGCCACGGAGCAGACAAGCATTTTCCAACCAAATCAATGGTTCCATTGTCATGTCAGGGAAAGATCGGTGATTTAAAAGTGATTATCTGAAAAGCCGTAAAATGAGCCGGCACGAAAAAGCTGGATTACTCAAAGACGAGAATGTCCACGTGTCAGGTGACCAGTTAGCCGGTTCAGAAGGCAGGAGACTGTTTCTTCTCCAGCCTCGCCCTCTTTCCCTAATTGCCCTCCTCTGCCAACTCGGGGGTTCCCCTCCTCCCTCCATCCAAGTCGCGGGACTGGGAAGAGCGCGAGGGTCCGGTCGAACCCCCAGCCCAGGCCCCCGAGCCCGACGCGCCCCAACCCCTGCCACGGGGGGCACCGACCGCCTTCAGAGGCCGGCCAGGGAGAGACTGAGTAGAAAACTGGGTTGCAGGCCCAGCCCCAATCGCCTCTCGGGGTGGGCGGATCAGATCAGGGACAGCGGATCTGGAGGGAACGGCCACGCCCCGGACGCCGCGGGGAGCCAAGCGCCGAGGGAGGGGCAGCGGGAAAACTGGACCTGGCGCCCGGGACGAATACCTGGCGGCCGAACTGAGGACAACTGAGGGCACTCGCAGAGCAGGGCGGGAACGCTTCCAGCAATGGCGTCGGCTCGGCTGGGCCAGCCGCCAACACGCCTGTGCGCCTGCGCAACCAGGGCGTCGGAACTACAGTGCCCAGAGTCCTCAGCGTCTGTGCCTTTTCTTTTTCTTCTCTTTGTCTGCATTTATGAGGGAGAGAGAGGGCTGTGTTTATCGTCAATTTGGGTGACCTGAAAATTCAAATTGAATAAACTTGTAGTGAGAGGCCATAGCTGTGTGTCAAGCACTAACACTAGGCACTAGCGTCACAAAGAAGAATGACACAACTCTTGCCTCGGAACATATCCCTGTGACTGAAGAAATAAAGCCGTTGAGAGGTGTCAATAGAGGTAGACCGCCTGTAAATTAGTTAAAGCCCCAGACGCCCGCAGAGTTGGTAGAGGCGTGTCCACGCCTTTGCATGTTTTTCATTCAAGTTCTTGACTGAAAAAAATCGATAATAGTTTCTGGGTTTTTGAACCAGAGATTGTTTTCTTGACTCATTCAAATAATACTAATATATTGTGTAATTAATGCATTATATTATACAATTAATAATAATATAAATGTTAATATAATGTCATCGATTATATGTTAATATGTAATATGTTAATGTCTATTAATATTATATAATTATATGATTATTATTTTTTAAAGATTTTTATTGGGGAATTGGGGGGATGGGAACAGTGTTGGGGAATTGGGGGGAGGGGAACAGACAAATTGCTGTCGTTTTGGTCTTCAGTCTAGTTGTGGAGGACGTTGCTTCACTGGCCCAAGTTGGCACCATCATTGCGCTCTTCCCGGNGTATTGCCATCAGAGAATCAGCAAAGGTAGTTGACCAAGCCCAAAGGAGAGTGTTGAGGGGCGTCGATGACCTGGACTTTTTCATAGGGGATGAAGCCATAGATAAACCCACCTACGCCACAAAGGTAAGCCCCGTCCAGGAGGCAGAAGAATGAACAATGCAGAATGGTAGCTTAACTGGAAGTTGACTTGTGAGTTGTGGAATGTGTTTTTAGTTTTAGGTTTGAACGGAGGTTTTGTGGTTGTTTTTGAATATGGTATATTTTGCTGTGGAGGAACCAGCAGATTTACCAAGCCCCGGAACACAGAACGGACCCGGAATACTGGGTTACACGCGGGGGCCAGATCTGCCCCCTGGGAAATGGCAGCTTGGCTAATTAACCTGTCAGATACGGCAAGTTGCAGATTGAGTAATTAAAAAGAAGCACTAACGTTATTTAACTAGACATTTGTTCTAAGAAAAGAAAAGCCTCCAATCGTCGGGTGGTATGGTAGACGGGCCACACTTTCCATTGTGCAGACGGCCTTCGCACTTTGGAGGCCGAATAGTTGGAGCAGAATATCAGCAACAGCACAACTTCATCTTCTGTTACAGCCCTGGTGTCTCTACATTCACTTCATGCAAAGGAGACCTCTGTTTTCTAACCCGGTCTCTGCCGGTGCTGTTACATGGTGGCTGCCGCCGGTGTGGACGGAGCCTGACGTACTTTGCTGTCTCTCTTGTTAGTGGCCAATAAGACATGGAATAGTTGAAGACTGGGACCTGATGGAAAGGTTCATGGAGCAAGTGATCTTTAAGTACCTTCGAGCCGAACCCGAGGACCATTATTTTTTAATGACAGAACCCCCACTGAATACACCAGAAAATAGAGAGTATCTTGCAGAAATTATGTTTGAATCGTTTAATGTACCCGGACTCTACACTGCAGTTCAGGCAGTGCTGGCCTTGGCAGCCTCGTGGACATCTCGGCAAGTCGGCGAGCGCACGTTAACAGGGATCGTCATTGACAGCGGGGATGGGGTCACCCACGCTATCCCAGTGGCAGAAGGTTATGTAATTGGAAGCTGTATCAAGCACATCCCGATTGCAGGTAGAGATATTACGTATTTCATTCAGCAGCTGCTAAGGGAGAGGGAGGTGGGAATCCCTCCTGAGCAATCCTTGGAGACCGCAAAAGCCATCAAGGAGAAATACTGCTACATTTGCCCTGACATTGTCAAGGAGTTTGCCAAGTATGACGTGGATCCCCGTAAGTGGATCAAGCAGTACACGGGGGTCAATGCCATCAACCAGAAGACGTTCCTTATAGACGTCGGCTACGAGAGGTTCCTAGGACCTGAAATTTTCTTTCACCCCGAGTTTGCCAACCCAGATTTTATGGAGTCCATCTCGGATGTTGTTGATGAAGTTATACAGAACTGTCCCATCGATGTCCGCCGTCCGCTAAGAATGTCGTCCTTTCAGGAGGCTCCACGATGTTCAGGGATTTTGGACGTCGGCTGCAGAGAGATTTGAAAAGGGTGGTGGATGCCAGACTAAAACTCAGTGAGGAGCTCAGTGGCGGCAGAATAAAGCCCAAGCCCATGGAGGTCCAGGTGATCACACACCACATGCAGCGCTATGCCGTGTGGTTCGGGGGCTCCATGCTGGCCTCGACCCGGAGTTCTTCCAGGTCTGTCACACCAAGAAGGACTACGAGGAGTATGGCCCCAGCATCTGCCGCCACAACCCCGTCTTTGGAGTCATGTCCTAGTGGTGGCCTCGACACCGCCGTTCCCATCGTGTCAGCTGCCGAGCAGGTGTCCTTCAGAGCGCAGGGAAGACCTCAGCTGGCCGGAGCAGCGTGCTCGCGTCGCCGAGTGCATGAGGCACCGCCGGTCAGCTCAGTCCAAGCCGTCTGTGTACCCAGCCCGTCACCTGCCCTCCCTTCCTCCTCTCCACCTGAGCTTCTAGCTGACAGATAGAATTCTGAAGGAATTTCACTGCGACTTTAAAGATTATTAGGAAAATATCCTAGAACATGGCGCAAAATGGTCCCCCCCGACCACCTTCAGGAAAACATATGGGGCTGTAAACCCTTTTCCTCCCAGCCTATTTTTGTAAATAACGTGTTATAAACTTGAAATACAAATTGATGTTTATATTTCCTATCATTTTGTATTTGATGGTATTTGGTACAGCGAGCTAATCCTGAGCATGAGCAGATCTGGGTGTCACGAGTGCTGCTGTGATAGACGTGTTTAATTGTGAGGCATGTTGTGACGCGTGTGTAGGGCAGACGATGTAAACCAGAACAAACTTTGTTGCCACATGTGTGCCAGAAAATGACTGCACTTTATTGGAGTGACATGAAGTTGAAACACTAAACAGTACTGTATGAGAAGCATTGTAGATAACGTACCTTTTCATGTTCTTGTCTGAACTTTCTGGAACTGTTTTGTAGAAGATGCCGGTTTGCTGTTGGTGAGTGTTGGATGAAATACTCCCTTGCACCATTGTAATAAAAGCGGTTAGACTCTTTAAAAAAAACACAAAAAAACCCCCCAAAAAACAATGAGACTGTTTCCACTCTAACCCATTCCTATTTTGTGTGTCTTGGATTCTCTGCTGCTTTGATTGTGTATGAGGCCCATACAGGCTCAGGCCCCTTCAGATGGAGATCTGCAGGGAAATATAAAGCTCAGTGAAACTGAACACAGTTCAAAACTGGGCTCTTGAGATGTCAAAGGACCAATGAATAACTTTGGGGAAAGTATGACATAACCCATTGACCTTTGAACTATAGAGGGGAAATGCAAGTAGGAAATCAAACTCCTGAAGATAACAAATACGATATCTGAAATGAAAAATAGACTGGATTGGGTTAAGAACAGATTAGACACTGCAAAAGAAAAGATTAGTGAAGTCAGAGACATACTCGTACAAATAGAAACTGCACAAAATAAAACAGGAAGAAAAAAGATGGAGAATGGAACAGGTGGTAAAAAGATGGAGAAAAGATGGAAGAAAAAAGATGGAGCTCCAGTGAATTATGGAACAATATTAAGTAGCCTAACTATGTGTAATTAGAATTCCAGAAGGAGAGGAGAGGGTGAGGGAATAGAAAAATACTTGAAAAAATAACTAAATACTTTCAAAATTTGATGAAAATTATAAATCCACAGATCCAAGAAGTTCAATGAAATGCAAAGAAAAGACATGAAGAAAATCACACCAAGGCACATCGTAATCAAACTGATACAAATCAGCAATAAAGAACAATCTTAAAAAACAGAGGATCAAAGAAAATGTATGTACTGGGGGACAAAGAGAATTCTTATAGAAAATTAAAAAAGTAAGCTAGAAGACAATGGAGCAACACTTTTAAAGTATAAAGTACTGAAAGAAAAGAAAAAAACCATTAGCCCAGAAATTTATACCATTCAAAATATTTTTATAAATGAAGATGAACTTGTAGTGAGATAAGATGGAGTAAACACACTTTTCCCTATGCCTGCCACTAAGAACAGCTGAAACCCTTCAATATTATATATAAAACAAGTATAAGGAGACTCTGAAAATTGAACAGAAGGCAGTCCAGGTCCCTACCTTGCAACCTGAGGAAAGATACAGTGGTGAGTTGCCTTGGTTTTCTTTTTCCTCCTATACTCAGGCCTGCGTGCTGGAGAACTGGCAACCCAAAATGTTATTCAGTGCGATTTTTAAAAAGCCCCAAGAAAAGCCTGCTCTCTCTATCCAAAGGACCAAGAAAAAGGCAGCCTAGTACAACAGGAAACTTTAAAGAAAATAACTACTCTAGCCAAACACAACAGACAAAACTGGTCCCACTTCATCCCCATCAGCAAAGGCTGGGTAAGGAACTTAGACTTCCACCCTTATCTGACTATAATGAGGTGCTCCTCTGTCCCTACAGGAGTGGTGTCAGAGAAGGTTTTGTGGGAGCTTGGACTCTCATTCACATCTGGTAGTATTAGGCCTCCCCCCCCACAGTGTCAGTGGCAGCCATTTGGAAGCAGCAATAGAATGCCACTCCCCTCCTGACAAAGTGTTGTCAGTGGTAATGGCTAGTGGGGAGCCTGAAATTCTACCCCTGCCCAGAAGTAACAAGAAATTTCCCTCCCCAGAGCTGTTAATAGAAGCTGAGTAACCTGGATTCCAACCCCACCAAAAAATAACCAGGTGGTAGTGACCTTCCTTCTCTCACCAGAGTGGTGTCAGAGAAGGCCTGCTAAAACATGAGATTTAAATAAAAATCAAAAGTACCATAAAATAATTCTCAAAGAATCCCCAAATTTGGCAAAAAACATAAATCTGCAAATTCAAGAAGCAAAGAAAATTCCAAGAAATCCAGTTTAAGACAGATAATCAAACTCCTGAGAACTAAAGATGAAGAATCCTGCAAACAGAAAGAAAGGAGACCATACCAGTAAAAGAAAAACAATTCAAATGACAGTGGGTTTCTCATCAGAAACCATGGAGGCCAGGAGGTGGGACAACATCTTTCAAGTGCTGAAAGAAAATAACTGTCAACCAGGTTATGAGTTTAATCAATAACAATGCAGCAAAAATTCTTCCCATAATGTTTCCACCTTTGTACTGTAAAGATACATTGGAACAAGAAAATACATTGCTTGATATAAATTGTGTTAAAATTCTCTCTGGAGATGAACCAAAACTATTTGAATACAACACTCAATAAAGTAAAGCAGAAAAACTGGAAGAGAAGCCAACAGTGAAAAAACGAGAAGCAGCACGCGTTAAAAATATATGATCTAGGGCCGGCCGAGTGGCGCGATGGTTAAGAACTCGCTTGGGATGCCAGAGGGCCCCGGTTCGGATCCCACATATGAGGGCCAGTGACACTGCCCTCTA